TATTTTCAATTTTTTTATTTTTCTTTTTTATGATTTGCGTTTATAATTAATGTACTCTTATATGAAAAATAATATGAAATATTTTTATATCTATTTTTTATATTTTATAAATGTTAATTTGATTTATAAAATTTAATATATTTTAATGATTAATATCAACTATAATATTTTGTATGAAGATTTTTTTATTTGTTTTAATAATGTATCATTTTATTAATTTATCTACTTCATTTTTTAATCATTTGAATAATATGTTAGATATATAAAATAACAAAGTAAATTGTGAAATTAGATGAAATATTTGTTTTTATTTTTATTAATTTTGTAATTAAGAAGATATATATATATATATATATATATGTGTTTGTATTCATTGTAAAAGTGATTCTTATAAGTAAAACGGATTTTTTCTTTTCTAAATGTTTTGTTTTTTATATTAATCTTTAATAAATTTCTTATAATTTTATAAATTTTACTTTCTAATTAATTTATCATAATATTTTAATATAATGAAAAAGTTTAATACAAAAAGAAAAATTTCTAAAAGAAATATGTTAATGGGAAAATATCATAAAAAAACATTTTTAAAAAAAAAAAAGAAAATTATCAAAGAAAAAGTATATTCAAAACATTCTATAAAAAATAAAAGTATTAAAAAATATAATAGAAATAATAAGATTGAGCGGAAAAATAAGAAAAATAATGACATTGATATTCTTGGTTTATTAAAAAATAATACAGAAAACGTGAAAGATTCTGATAAGTTATTAATAAAAAATAAAAAAAGTAAAGAGAAAAAGAAAAATAACAATAAAAACAATATTCCTACTACTGAGTTATTAAAAAATAATGAAGAAATTTATAAAGATAAAGAGAAATTTTTAGATGATAAAGAAAACAAGAATAGAATTTTAGAATTACCAAAAAGCAATGATATTTTAGAGTTAACTAAAGAGAGAGAACATATGAAAATAAAAGATGAAAACATATTTGATGGAAAATTTTCTGATTTAAAAAGTGTTTTAAGTGAAAGTTTAATAAATAATTTGGAAAAAAACAACTTTATTAAAACAACAAAAATTCAAAAAATGAGTATACCTTTAATATTTAAAGAAAATGATGTTTTTCTAAAGTCTATGACCGGTTCAGGTAAAACATTATGTTATGCTATACCATCAATACAAAAAATTTTAAATATGAAAGAAGAAATAAAAATAACAAGAGAAATGGGAATATTTATTATGGTATTATCACCAACTAGAGAATTAGCAATACAAATAAATAATTTATTTTTTAATTTAACAAAACCATATCCATATATAGTTGTATCGTGCATAACAGGCGGAGAAAAAAAAAAATCAGAAAAAAACAGAATAAGAAAAGGAATATCTATCTTAACATGCACACCTGGAAGATTACTAGATCATTTAGAACACACGAAATCATTAAAACTAACTTATTTAAAAACTGTAATTTTAGATGAAGCAGATAAAATAATTTTTTTAGGTACTCAAGATAAGATAAAAATGATTTATGATTTAATTAAAAAATTAAAATCAGAAGAAGTTAATAAAATGAAAGAAAAAAATAAAAATATTAGAAGTAATTTTCAGATGATTTTTATTTCAGCAACATTAAATCATGCAATCAAAAGTTTAGCTAGCTATTGTTTAACTAATAATACAATTTGGATAGAAAAAAAGAATGTTCCAACTAATTTTTCAATTAACGATGATATAGAAAATAGCAATTATGAATTACCAGAACAACTAAAACAGTATTGTATATTAATAGATTTAAAGCAAAAATTTGTATGTTTATTATATATGCTATTAGATTGTATAAAGAAAAAGAAAAAACCAGTTGTATTTTTATCAAATCATCATAGTGTAGAATATTTTCAAATTCTTTTAAAAAATTTATATTGGCCTACTGATGTGGATAAAAAAAATATAGAAGTAAATAAAAGATTGAATGAAGGAATTACTCCTGTATTAGAAAAGGAAGATGAAAAATTACTGAGAAAACATTTAGAACAAAATTATATAAATAGTTGTAAAGAAAAACAAAATAATTTGGTATTATCATATAAAAATATAAATATAGAAGATATACATGAAGAACAAGAGCAACAATTTTATAATATTAATGCAGACAAACATAAAAGAATATATTTATTTGAAAATGTGAATATATATATATTACACGGAAATTTATCAAAAGAAGACAGACTGGGGAACTTTATGGATTTTTCGAAGAATCAAAATTCTATTTTATTATGCACAGATATAGTTTCAAGAGGTGTAAATTTTAATTCATTAAATGTTGTTATACAATATGATGCCCCTCAAATATTAGAAGAATATATACATAAAGTTGGAAGAACGGCAAGATTAAATAATGAAGGATCTTCTTATTTATTTTTATTAAACTCCGAAAAAGAATTTCTTAATGTTCTTAAAAAAAAAAAGATTCAGTTAAAAATTCTCATTGGAAATGCATTAATCAATCAATTTAAAAATATTTATATTCCTTCATTTCTAAAAATAGTTGGAAAGGATATTCTAAACTTTTTACAAAATCATTTTCAATCTATAGTTAAATCAGATAAATTGCTAATTGAAAAATCAACAAGTGCATTTTTATGTACTATAACTTCCTATTATTCAATAAGTAAAAATATAAGAAATATATTCAATGCAAAAAATTTACATTTAGGTCATTTGGCTTTTACATTTTTACTTGATAAAACGCCAAAAGAAATTTCTAAACATAAAAAACAACAAAATTATTTAAATATAAAGAAGCAAACTATTTTAAACAAAAAAGAAAAGAGATTATTGAAATCTAAAAAAATGCAAAAATATCCAAAACAATATGAAAATTTTCAACGAAAAAAAATAAAAGCATTAAAAAAAAATGCATGAATACTTCTAGTAGTATTATTAGAACTTAAATTTTTCTTTTGTAGATATACAAGAAATAAAAAGATATATTAATTTATAGTTACAACCACATGGAAATTCTAAAAGAATTACGTAAATAATATAAAGAAAAAACACAAATTATAATGTTAAAAAAAAAAAAAAAAAGGAATTACAATAATAAGTGTTATTATAAAATTTAAATATTATTATAGTTTAATTAAAAAAAAAAGCTGTGTTTTATAAAAATATTTCCGTATATTTAATATGCATATTAATCATATTTATAAATATATTAATAAAATTTTTTAGATATACTCATTTTATGTATATTGTTTTATATATATATATATATATGTTTATGCATATGTTTTGTATTATTTGCATCTGTTTAATATTTTATAAAGTTATAAAATTTAATACATTTTTTTTTTTATTAAATTTTTCAAGGAAAATATCATGATATTGTTTATGTTGATAAATTTCTTAATATTATTTAAGAGAAAAAAATAATAAAATATTTACAAAAACTATAATAAATTAAGTATCAACCTTTTAAATATGTTTTTAATTAATATTAAAACATTAAGAAAAATATATAAGTTTAAATTATAAATATAAAAAAATAATAGAAAACTATTTAGAAGCAAAATATATATATATATATATATATACAATAATTATTTAATAATTTTCTTGAAATTAAATTATAAAAATTTACTTGATAAACTTGAAATATAATTAAATTATTTCATATAAATGTGCATTTTAAAAAATCAGAACAAAAAAATATGTATTCATTATTTTTTTTTTTTTTTTTAAAAGATAAATTATTAGATAAAGAAAAAGGAAATATTTTAGGTATTATAATGAACTAATATTTTATTATTTAAAATATATATTATCATAACAATAACAAAAAGAAAAAAAAAAAAAAAAAAAAATTATAAATAAATGTAGCTTCTATTTACTAAGAAATAGTTATCACTATATAACTTCAAATAATTTTTCATATGAGATAAAAAAAAAAAAAAAAATATTCTATGTATTTATTAAGAATATTTTTATATATTTATAATTTATTTTTTTTTTGTTTTTTTTTTCTTTTTACACTATTATCAAAATTTTTATGATTTAAAATGCCGACACAAAATAATTTAAACTCTGGGAAAATTGATGCTATAAAAAATTATATACAAAATTTTGATTACAAGAATACAAATGAAAGTAAGCAAAAGTATAAATATATATATATATATATATGTGTGTGTGTGTGTATATAATACATAAAATAGTTTGAATATGTAAAGATATTTAATATGCTTAAATTTTTAATTATATTTTTTTTTTTTTTTTTTTTTAAAAGGTATTAATGGTTTTGTACAATTGTTAAAAGAGATAAATATCAAAATGGTTGTTTTTGATTTTGATCTTACTATAATTGGTAGTCATTCAGGTTAATAAATATTTTTAAGTTATGAGTTATATACTTTAAGATTCAAACATATAAATTTTTTTTTTTTTTAAAGGTGGATATATTGATAAGTTAAATGATGTAGATAATATTGGATTATCTGTAACAAATGATTTTAAAATATTTTCTAAAGCATTATGCTTAAATAATATTAAAATAACTGTTGCTACCTTTTCTGGTTTAAAAAATATATAATTTCTTATATAAGAAATTATCTACTTGAATATTTATTTTATTTCATTATATTAATTGATTATTAATTATTTTAGACGAAGAAGCTATTAGATATAGTAAAAGAAGTTCTCCTAATTTAATTGCGGGTGAAGAATTAGTTCATCATTGTTTAAAAAAAAGCAAGTGTGATACAAAAATAGAAAAAGTCTATGCATATTATCCATAGTAATTAAAAAAAAAAAAAAAAAATTACAATAAAATATATATTGATGAAATATTTAAAAAAATAAATTATATATATTTATATATAGTTTTTATAAAGATCCTGAAAAATACAGAGCATTGCAATTAGAAAAACCCATGACTAATGATAAATCTTTTCATTTGGAAAAGGTAAGAAGATAATAATATTAATATATATATATATATATATATATATATACATATATATATAAAGCAAAAAAAAAAAAAAAAACTTCTTTTAATTTTCTCTAAACTTCTTTTTACACAGATTAGATTAGAGTTTTTTGTAAATTTTGATGAGATTATATTTATTGATGACGATATAAATAATTGTGTTTCAGCTAAAAAGGAAGGATACATTACTTTTAATGTTACAGGGAAGGATGGATTTAATTTTAAAAATATAAAAATTATGTAGTAAAATAAAAATTAAAATATAAGAAGAGACACATATATTTTTTTTATTCTATTAATAATATAAATATATATTTATTTTAAATAAAGAAGAATAAATAAAAAATTCATATATTTAAAATTTTTTTTTTTATTTTCGTTTTAATTCTTTTTTTTTATTAGTTTTTTTTTTTTTCTTTTTCTTATTTCACTTTTTACTCTTTGTATTATCAAATGATATGTACACTTTTCTTTTTTTATATTTCCTTTTAATTTATTTTTTTTAAAATACCAAAATTGTATTCATTTATTTTTCTTTTTTTTTTTTTTAATTACTTAACAATTTGAATAAAAAAAGATTTTATTTTTTTATTAAAAAAAAAAAAAAGTAAATTTAAACTTTCCAATTACGGAGAATATGCAATTTTTTTTTTTTTAAATATATATATTTTTATACTTTAAATTATTAAATATCAATGAAATTTTAAAAAGAAAAAATAAATATCTAAAATGATAAAAAATACAGTAAATAAAATTATTAATATAAAAGAAAAAGTTTCAAAACAATATATACATGGGTATATTATTTATATTATATTTAATATACTATTGTTAAATTACTTATTATTATATTTTGTGTTAAATTTTTATAATAATAAATACTTAGGAGTTAAAAAAGATTTTTCATCTATTAAATCAAGTATATTAGAAACAAATAATGAAAAAGAAAAGTATAACACATTTACATACTTAATATGTGTTATATATATTATTTTTTCTCTAATTTTTTATGTTCTAGAATTTTTTATAAAATTTAATGGAACATTTTTAAGTGATCTATATTTATTTAGAAAAAAAAACTTCATTGATTATAATGTCAAAATTCCACAGAATAATAAAAAAAATACAGAAATATATGTTACAATAAATTATATTTTTATATATTTTCTGTTAACAATATTAGGACTAATTAAATGCAATATAGATGAATATTTTTTTTATTTTTTTTCTCTTATAATAATATGTGAAATTAATACTCCTTTAAAAGTGTTCATGGTTTTTATAAAAATTATAAAAAAGTATTATAAAAATAGTTATATGAAAAAAGAATATAACAATGTAGACAATATTAAGAAAAGAGATCTTTATTTTTTTTTTTGTTATTTTATTATCATAAGATATTTAGGAAATTTTTCATTATATGAAAAGTTTAACATATACAAATATTTGACGTTTAAAAATTATTCAGAAAAACTATCAAGGAATAAATATTTTAGTATGATTAATTTTCAAAATTATGTAAGTCCAAGCCTTTTTTATAAGGACATTCTTAAAAGGGATTTATTAAATTATATGAAAAATATTTTCAAGTTTTTAAAAAAATACATACGTAAATTTAACTATACATTTATTTTTATAAATAACAGTGCTAAGAATATTTTATCTAAGTTTTTCAATATTTTACAATATATATTAACTGAAAATTTTTTTTTTTTCAATAACATAGTAAAAGAAGAAAATATTTGCACTATAAAAACTGAAAATAGTGAGTTAAATCATGGAGCTACTGAATTAAAGAAAAAAGAAAAAGACATGAATACAAGTGAAATACATAAATGTGTAAATAAAAAAAATAAAAAAGTTTTACATGAACAACCTATAAAAAGGAATCAAATTAAACAGAAAATAATACATAATGATAATACTTTATGTGAAGAAGAAAATGAATATATAGATGAACCAAATTATTTTTATGAGCTTAGTAAAAAGGAATATCTTAAAATGAAAAGGAACGTAAATAAATATAATAATTATTATGAATATTTTAAAAAGAATAAACCGAATAGGAGCGAAGATGAATATGTTAGTACTTCAGAAAATGAAAACTTTAATTTTATTAAAAGAAAGAAAAGGCAGTTTCAAGTAGTTGAAGCAGATAAAAATAAATTTATTTTTGATAATTTAGAAGATAACGAACTTAGCAATGATAATACTTCAAAAAAATATTTTATTGATATAGAAGATGAGGCATGTATTTTTATTAACGAAGATGAAAATAAAAGAAATGATAATAAAGGAGGGGAAAATAAAAAAGATAATTGTATAGAAAAAAAAATAGATGGAGTAAATGAAAATTATAATAATGCATCTATATATTATCCATATTTAAAAGAACCAAGTAATATTGATATACCTAATAAAAATAAAAACGGTGACTTATATAATAAAGATAATATATGTGGAGAAAATAATTACTCAGATGATGTTTCTTTTAAAAAGGGAAACAATGAAATTTGCAATAAAAGAAAAAAACACAAGGAAACATATACCAAAAATGATATAAAAGGTTGCTGTTTTAGTATGAAAACAAATGAATTAAAAAAATTTATTCACGAAAAAGGTTGTCAATCCGAAAGAAAAAATAAAAAAGAAATTAATATTGAAAATTCTATGGAAAGGAAAAATATGAAAAATATAGAAATATATAATTTCAAAAATGAGAAAAAAAAAAAAAAAAGCATAGCATGTTCTGATATACAGAATAATTCAGAAGACAGTTTGAATTTTAAAATTTTTAATATAAATAAAAAAACAAATAATAAATACAATATTAAAAATGGTCTTAAAAAAAAAAATAATGATATTTTTATTGGTGGGAATGAAGCAAATGTGCTTTCTAAAAGTAGCATTTTTTATGAAGTTTGTAATCAACAAGAAAAGAATATTCTACGAAAAAAAAAAAAAATGAAGAACTTAAAAAAAAACTTAAAGATTTTTTTATCTAATTTTAAGAGAAAAATGGAAATATGCATTTTTTTAAATATGGTATATAAAATTATTTCATTACTAAATATTTTATTAATTTTTTTTGTGAAGGGGATTTATATGTATATTAATTTATATTATTTTATATCTAAATATAAAACTTCTTTCTTTTTTCAAAAAATACTTTTAACTTTAATACAATGCTCATTTTTTTTTTTATTTCATTTATATGCATATGAATACAAAAAAAAAAAAAAAAAATATTAATTAAAATTTTTTGGTTATTTTAGGAAAATATATTATGATATTATTTTAATTTTTAATAAAACCATATTTTTAAATTCATTTATATTCTTATACTTTAATTAATATTAATTTTCAACTTTTTACTTCTCATATTTTTTTATTTTGACATACAGAATCTATGTGCATATACAGTTACATACCTTTAATAATTATTTTTCGTCAAATGTCAATAGTGTATATCTGTCTTATATTTCTAAAATATATTATTTTTTGCTTTTTATTTTTTTTAAAAGTCCTTTAAAAATTATTCTATTTTTGTTTTGTTTTCTCATAAAAAAAAAAAAAATAAATAAATTATATATAAATTTAATTATCATGAAAATTTCAAAATATATATCTTTTTTTTTTTTTTTTTTTTTCTTAAATAAAAATTAAAGATTTTAATTACAATAAATAAAAATATATTTATTTATTGGTTTAAAGATAAAAAATTTCTCTATTAACTCTTTAGATTCAAATGGTATTTATAAAAAAAAAAAAAAAAAAAAAAAAAAAAAAAAATGGAACTTTCATACATTTTAAAATTTTAACGATTTGCCTTTGCAACTCTTTCAATCTCGTCTTTTTTTTTGATTGCATAAGAACTAGAAGATTCATTGGCACAATGTATAATTTCTTCTGCTAAACACTCTGATATTGATTTAATATTTCTAAAAGCAGCATTTCTAGCACCTGTACAAATTAAATAAATAGCTTGATTTACTCTTCTTAAAGGAGATACATCAACAGCTTGTCTTCTCACAACACCAGCTGAACCAATTCTTGTAGAATCCTCTCTAGGACCACCTTTTTGTACTGCATTTACGAAAACTTGTATAGGATTTTCTCCAGTCATCAAATGAATTATTTCAAATGCATATGCAACTATCCTTATTGCTTTTAATTTTTTTCCATTATTTCTTCCATGCATCATCATAGAATTTACTAATCTTTCTACTATAGGGCATAATGCTTTTCTGAATCTTTTTTTTTGATATCTACCAGCTGTATGTGGGGTATAAACACATGCTTTCTGAGATACTGCTATGCAATCCACCTAAAAAAAAAATTTAATATATACATATATATATATATATATTATATATTTTCTTTTTATGTATTTATTTACTTTTTTTTTTTTTTTTTTTTTTTTTTTTTTTACCAATGATAAATCAGCAATGTTAACCTCTTCATATGACCATTTTTTAAAAAGTTTTATATCACACGTTGTTTCCATTCTTTAAAAATAATTAACTACGATAAAAAAAAATAAAAAATTTTCATAGTTATAATTATATTAAATTTATAACTTTTCCAAAATAAATATATTATGTTATTTATATGAACGAAAATTAATTTATATACAAAAATAAATATAAATATTATTTAATTTTTTATATCTTAAAGAAATTTATATATATTAATATAAATAATATATAAAAAAAAAGTAAAAAAATATGTAATTAAAATTTTTATCTATAATCAAAAATGTAATTGATAAATATATTACCTTTCTTATAATTTATGAATGTCTCAAAATTTCATAATTTATGTATAAATTAAATGTATGAAAAAAAATTATAAAATTTACAATTTTATTATTTTTAGAGAGGATGTTTCTTAAAATATTAAATGAAATATTATATCATTATATAATTGTTAATGAACGCCTATAAATATATATATATACATTTTTTTTCGTTACTTTTTTTTTTTTTTTTTTTTTTTTTTTTTGATGATGCATATTATAAAGAAAAAACATTTTCAAAACCCCTTATACTTCCCTATTCATGTAAACNTATTATATCATTATATAATTGTTAATGAACGCCTATAAATATATATATATACATTTTTTTTCGTTACTTTTTTTTTTTTTTTTTTTTTTTTTTTTTTTGATGATGCATATTATAAAGAAAAAACATTTTCAAAACCCCTTATACTTCCCTATTCATGTAAACCGAAAAATAGAATATGAATATATATATATATGAAAAAATAATTTGTGTTTTTAACTAATTTAAATTTATATAAAAATTTATTTAAAATACAGATTTGTTTTTTATTTCTCCTGATGTTTTAATAAATATTAAATAAAATACAATAAAAAAAAATAAAAAATATTTATTTTTTCTTAGAACATGCATTTTGTGTTCCCGAAATTTTGAAATAAACTTCTTATTTTAATTTAAAAAAAATGTGGAAAAGTGTTTTATCAGTTATTGTAAAATATTTTATCTATATTTTTTTTCATGTTATGTTTATTAAAAGGATTCTATAAATTTAAAAATTAATTGTAAGGTAGTAAATTCTTTTAATATTTATATGATCTTATTAGGAAATTGAAAAATAATAAATCAAACACTATATAGGAAAACTTTTTTGATCAAATAAAATTGAATTATCTATTAATTTTTATATCATTTTTTTAATTCATCTGTTACGTATAAATATTCCTTATAAGTAAGGTTTTTTGAGAGTAAAAAATATATAACTATGGATATATAATATTCAGAACAATACTAGAAACAATTATTTTACATTAATCTTCCTATATAATTAAGTTTATGTATAAAGTAATTATATAAAAACTATAAAATATACTCAATTTTTTACTAAAGAAGGAAAATATTTTTCTATTTCATAATGAAGTCCAAAATTTTTAAAATATTTTTAGATATTTACTACCAATTGATGCTAAAAAGAAATTCGTTAAAAAAAAAATATAACTCAAAAAAAATTATTCTTTTAATATACCTTTCTTTTCTTCTCTTTTTTTTTATATATATTTATGAGAGTAAAATTTTAATTTGCAGGAATTTTTAAAATAATGAATAATTATCTTTAAAGTGTTTGCAGATAATTCTAATTAAATTATGAAATATTTTTTTCCATAAAATGGATAAAATATAGTTAATACAATTATTTTATAATGTTGTAAATATACTGCCATAAAAATTAAAAAAATTTAATAATATATACCAAAAAAATACATATATGAAGATACACTTTTTTTAGAATAAAGAAAAATTTTGTTTACATATAAATTTTTGTGCTTTTTCATCAAAAAGGGTTATTTAATTTCCGTTAAAATTAGTATTATATAAGTAAAAATACATGTTGTCCAACCAAAAAATACACAAATTACCACATTTATGTGCATGCATAATAAATAATATGTTAAGATGCTAACTTTTAAATTACATAAGAGAATTAGTTTAAAAAAGTAAAAAAAATTACTATTTTTAAAATTTAACAATGTTATTTAAATAAAAGTAAAAATTTAAATATGCACACTCATATTAAAATTAAGATTAGCTTAATTTTTAATAAAAAGACAATAAAACTATATGAACAAGTAATATAATAATGTCTAGAATTAAAAATTTTTATAAAGAAAAAAAAAAAAAAGATGAATAAATATCTTTTTATATTATTGTGTTAAATTAACATGACATGGTAATATAAAAATATATTTTAATTAAATTTAATCCTATATAAATAATTTTTTTTTTTAGCTATTATGTATGACAAAATAATTCTTAGAAATATATTATTTGAAAATAAAGTGTAAAAAAATATTAATATGCACATTTTATAAATATAATTTTTTTTGTATGTACATTGTAATTATTAGAGTATTTTAAATAAAAAAGTTATGAACTTCAGGAAAAATTAAAATATTTTTCTTGTATATATTAAAATTTCAAATTTATTTTGATTACAAAATCACTAGTTAAACTCTTTTTATTATGTAATCAATTTTATAAAGTATTATTTACGAAGAGGTATAATTACTATAATTCTGATATGTTCATGAAAAAGAAAAAATAATATGAATATAAAATTTAATTCGCAGAGCAAGTATATTTTACCTGATCAAATAAAAGAAACAAAGATTAATTTTTTCAATGTAGAATAATTTTTTTTATTTTTTTTTTATTTTATAACATATATTTATATATATATATATATATATTTTTTTTTTTTTTTTTATTTTACATCTTATATTTTTTTTCAAACATATTTCTATATATTATTATATGTTATTATCCATATTTCCTATTTTATTAAAGTCTATTTTTTATTCTCTTTTTTTTATTTTTATATTTTGATAAAAATTCACATATTATATGTTTGAAGTTATTTTATTATAATTAGACAAAAAATTGTAAATTTTAATTTTTAAAAGTATACGAAATGAATAAATTATTAATTATATCATTTTTCCTTTACACTATTGCAGCTTTTAAAACAAACAAAAAAGAGCGTGATGAAAAAATTTCCAAAGTCTTAGAAAAACAAATTGCAAAAAGGAATCCTTCCGGTAGTAAACCATTTAATTTGAGAGAAAACATTGATTATAAAAGAAAATTTAATTATGAATTATATATTAGTTCTGATGGAGAACTTCAGCAACAAAGATTTGGTGTGAATGAAACTAGGCAGATAATAAAAAAGAATGTTGAAAGTTTTAGATATTTAGTAAATGATATGGAAATATTATTTGGTGTTTACAAATTTAATTCAAGAGATACGGAAAAAGTTTTAAGAGAGACATTAAAACCAGAATCAGTCTGTTTTATGATTGTGGGATTAATAATAAATGTTTTAAATAAAATAGATATTGATGATGCATCGCTTTATGGTTTACAAATTAAAGGTGAAAGAAATGGTAATAATGTAAATAGCACATTAGGAATTTCTGCTATTTTTTCAAATATAACTATTCCTTTAGGTAATTTTTACTTCCCAGAAGTAAAAAGAGTTCCTTATCAAGTACCATTTTTAGTTGGATATTATAATAGTAGATCTGGTATCAAACATAAAAGTTTCTCACATATATGTTCACTTCCAAAATTCTTAATTGATGTAATACATACATCCAAAGATGGACTAAAAGTTAATTTTAACGGAAATGATATTGATTTAAAAGAATTATTTCCAGCAACATTAGCTTATGCCTTGGAAAACTCCAATTCATTACCTAATCTAAAAGATGACCTACAAAAAGACGAAAGAACTAAATTATTAGATATTCTTCGAAGAGATGCAAGTGACGTTCCATATAGACGTATGAAGGATTCAGGAATAGAAGGTGAAGGAATAGAAAAGCCGGCAGACAGAATATTGGCAACTACATCATTTTCTAATGCTAGAGGAAAAGTGAGAGATTTTCTGGCAAGCTCAGGAAAGTCTAATATGGATACAGATTCAATAGCATTATACTTTTTATCTTTAAGTCAAAATATATATCCAAGAACAAAAGAATCAGAATCTGGAAGAATAACTCATGTAAAAGTTACAAATGTACAAAAAAATGCTTCAGGATATTTGTCAAGCTTTAAATTAGATTTAGGATTAGAAAATTCAAGAGTTATAAGTATAGTTGGTACTGTAAATGGAAAAAATATATATGTACCTAAAGAAACAATTAGTTCAAAAACTATAACCTACAATGTTCCCTTTTCTTATGGACTCTCTTTAAATGAATTAGGTTTATCTTATGGATTTTCTGGTTTATTTTTTCCATTTAATAAAATACTTCCTTATAATTTAAATAATTTGGCATCATTTGTTAAAAAAAATTAAATAAATTAAATTTTAGTGTTTCTCTTTTTTTATTTTAAAATCATATAATAATAGCAACTACAATTTTTTAGTTCCATTTATATGAATAGACTTAATAACATTAATTTATTAATTTGATACGTTTAAATATTACATTTAAATGATTCAGAATTAAAAAAATGATAAATTGATTATTTTATATATAAATAATATTCCTCAAATATATATTTGTATATATTATGTGAATTTTAACATATGATTTATTATTATTTTTTTATTTTTTTTTTTTTAATACCATTTTTTTTGTATTATTATTTTTCTCATATTTTTGGTTTGGGCTTTTTTATAACATTTTTTGTATTTTTGTTCTATATATATATTTTTTTTTTTTAACAATATTTTAAAAGCTTTATAGTATTACAGAAAGTGCTCTTTATTTTTTATAAAATTAAAGATACGCTTATATAAACTTGAAATAAAATGATGTAAATCGAAATTGATGTATTTTATAAAATATCTTTTATTCTTAATAGATAAAAATATTTTGACAAAAACCTTACATTTCTTATATCTATACCGTAAGAGCAATGGAAATTATGTATAATCAATCGTGAACAAAAAAAAATTTGAATTTATCTATAAGAAGTACATAATATTTAAGAACCATAAATGTATTTGAAAAGTGAATAATTGCAACAATAAGTTTTATAACATTAAATTACTTTAAAAAAAAATTTTGCATACAATAAAATGTATGTGTATTTAATTTATAAAAAATAAGAATTTGCTGATTTAAATATAATATTCCTCAATACATTTAAAATATGGAGAACCTTATAAAAATATATTTAATGAATTTTTATGTGTTTTCTTTTTTTATATATTTAAAAATGCTAACGTGCTTAATATATAAAATAGAACAAAAAAATAATTAACATTTTTCTTTTTTTAAGGTTTCCATTACATGGAGGAAAATATATAATACATAATTTATGATCAATAAAATTATAATTCAAATAAAAAATTACTAATAAATCTTTAAATATATATATATAAATATATATACTCTTAAGAATGAAATGTTATAAAAAAAATGCAAAGAAAAATATTTTTATAAAAATGCCATTTTTTATCTTTCACAGTATTACAACTAAAAAAGAGAAATAAAAGTATTATAAACTATTTTTAATTTTATTTTTTAAAAAAAAATTATTTAAAAAAAAATAATTTAATTAAAATACATTACTGATATAAAAATAAAATTAAAAAAATTTAACAAAACAAAATTTGTATGAATTTAAAAAAAAAAAAATTTTTAAATTTACTTGAAATAAAATTTTAAAACATTATTAGATAATCGAATATTTATAGGATAAAAATATAATTATTTTGAAATAGGAAAACAATTATCAATGCATAGAAAAATTTAAACAAGAGAAAAAAAATTATGATATTCCATTTATGAAATAGGAAACAATATATTATTTAAAATAGGAAAAAAAGCATTTATATTTTATTTAATTTTTATTTTTAACATAAAAAATTGCACAAATGCAAAAAAATATTCCAGAAAAAGATAATCAAAATGAATTAAAAAGTGATTTGAAAGAAAATAAGAATGATACAAAATCAAACGAAATAAATGAGGATAACATATACATTTTTGATGAACCCGATGACGAGTTGGAAGAATTTGAGGAGATGGGTATTTAAATATATATAAATATATATTACTAAACATTTCTTAAATAATATAGAAATTAATATATTGCAATAATTAAAAAAATAATATTATATTTTAATGAATTTCAAACTATATAAAATACTATTATTTTACCGTAAATATATATCAATTTTTTTATTTCTTTTAAATAGGTAGTGTAGCTTTAAATGTAGACACAGATCTTGAAAATTGGGAAGAAGATTGGGGAGCAGCAGGTTTATATTAAAGATTTATATAAAATAATAATAAAAATATATATTAATAAATCATAATTGTGTTAGTATATATGTCTATATTTTCTAATATTTCATTTTTTTACTTTAGGATGGGATGATGATGATGACGATGATGATAAGTTTATTTTGAAAGTTGAATCAGAATTGCAAAAATTTAGAGCTAGCTTAGATGCTGAAAAGGATGTAAAAAAATAAATTAATTTACAATATATATTTTTGAAAATATATGAATATCATAACTTTGTAAAATGCAAAAGATGAAAGCAAATTTATTTTTTTATATATTTTTTATTATTTTTATGGCAATAATCTCTGAATGATTTTTTTATGTAAATATTTTTTAATTTGTTTTTCATTTTGACATACAAAATTTTCTTAGCAGTACTTTAAGAAACATAACAAAAACTACGTAGTTGAATTTTAAAGGAAATAGAAAAAAAGAAATTATCTCATAAATTGCTTGTATTAATGATATATAATGAAATAGTTACTCTTATTATAGTTTTTTTTTTTTTTTTTTTTTTTTTTTAAGAATAAGAAATAAAATTTAATATATTTTTTGGTTTTTGTAAAAAATTTTAAGTAAACGTATGAATTCCAAAATTAAAGATATTTAATTTACGTCATTTTTTTTTTTTTTATTATTTAAAAATATTAAGATATATTTCTTTTATATTTTTATGGTGATTAAAATGTTTAAAAAAATAAAAAAAAAAAAAAAAAGAAGAAATTATTATACATACTTTATAATTAGAAATGAATTAAAAAAAATATAACAAAAAAGAAAAAAAAAAAAAAGATGATAATAATAAGGAAATAAATTCCCCTAAAGTTAATTCTCACAAATGTAAAACTTTTTATTAATTTTTAATTTATAACTTTCCGTTGTGGTAAAATCATTGGGTTTAACTGTGATATATATACACATAACCAGCTGAAAAAAAATATAAATATTTTCATCTATTTTATAAATTAAAAAAAAAAAAATTTATTCAATGTTTTGTGTTAGACTTACAATATCCATAAACAAAATACTGCCAATGAAACTAGTGTAACAATTAATCTAATAAAGAAAATAAAAAAAATTATTCCATAAATAAATAAATAAATATATATATATATATATATATATATATATATATATATATATATGATAAACTTTTTAAAATTCCAATTAATTATACTTAATCATGTCCTTTTTTGATATTTTTCCATCTTTTCCAAAAATAAGACAAAATATGATACAAGATATAAGCCAAATAATTATGTAAATAAGTGTTCCTATTAAAATATTACTATCCATTTCTATCAAAAAAAGAAAACATAAATATTTCATAAATTTTTTAAATTTCCATCAAATACTCTTCAAGTATATATAACAAAATAAATATTATTATATGGAATAATAAATATTATTATATGGAATAATAAATATTATTAATTCAAAAAAATATATGAAAAAAAAATATTACCTTCCAATAAATTTATGTGTAGCTGATAAATCTAAAATAAATTTACCTTATTTTTTAATTTTAAAGAAAACATATTTTTGCTTTTTAAATAAACAACAAATTAATGAGATTAAATAAAATAGGGAAAAATCAAAATATATGTAAATTACTTCTTTATATAAAAAGCCGTGTGCAATATACTATATATAGTTTTTTTTTTTTTTTTTTTTTTTTTTAAGTTTATAAAACTATTATTTATATATTATATTTTATTGTAGGATGTAACTGTAAATCATATTTTTTTTTTTTTTATTTTAAATAAATATATTTTAATTAAAAAAAAAAAAAAAAAAAAAAATTAAGCTTTTCTTCCTTTATATATATATATATATATATATATGCAAATAAATCAGTGACAAAAAAAATGTTTTCAGATATAAAATTTGTATAAAAATTTGTTTTTATTTGAAAGGTTGTGAGAAAAAAATAAATTTTTATAAAGTTTTTTTGTATTATTAACAAATAAAATGATGTATTAATTTTCACATGCAAGTTAGCTTTTTTTTTTTTTTTAATTTATCACAATAAATAGTAAGAAGAATTGAAAATTTATTAGATTAAAGTTATTAAGAAAAATGAAAAAAAAATGTGATAAAAATAATATACTAATTAAAAGTCATAAATCAAAAATAAAACATTATGATAAAAAAAAGAGTAAAGAAAAGTATAAAAAACATGATAAAGATGCTTCAAGCCAAATATACAAAGGAACAAAATCGAATAAAAAAATAAGCAAGAATTACCCTACCAATTTAACGGATTATAATAAAAACACAGGTAAAAAAAATTCAGAAATTTCTTATAATTCTTATGATTATTTTGATAAAAATGCATCCGATAATGGTTTATCATCCAATTATATTAATGAACAAAAATTGAAATATGAAAAAGAAGTTTTTGAAAAAGCATATGGATTATCACTAGATGATGATATTTGTTATGATAATTTTTTATTTAAAAAAGATAATGGAAATTTAGATAACAAGAATAATAAAAAAGAAGATAGTAAAAAATACTATGAATGTTTCAGTTGTAAAACAAAAAATTATTATTCAAATATTCAATGCTATAAATGTAAAAAGTTAAGAAAATTGTGAATTTAAATAATTTATATGTTGACAGTTGAGTATCTTTAATTATTCTGTTTTTTACTTTACTTTATTAAATAAAATATTCCATTATTTATACATTTATTTTAAGTTTTTTTTTTTTTTAAGATAAACATAATTTGTTAATATTTGCTATTTATATTATGAGAAAATATAAAATTAAAAATGAAACGAAAAGGAAAAAAAAAAAAAAAAATAAAATAAATAAAATGAAATTAATAATATCAATTGTGAAAATGTTTATTCAAAAAAGAAAAATAGCTTAATTAAAGTCTTATTTGAAATTATAAAATATATAATCAATATTAATTATAATAATTTATAACAATTTTAATTAATAAAATTCATGAAATAATACAATATAAATTAAAAATTATATTTTAAATAATACTTAAGAAATACTATTAAGGAAGATTCGATTAAATATATTTTCACAAATAATGTTAATGGTTACATTAAAAAAAAAAAGAGGAAAAAAACTAATTCTAAGTATTATAAAAATGTCTTATATTTTTGCATAAATTAATTTTTTAAATAATTCTTGTTAATTATTACAATTTTAAAAGAGGAAAAAACTACATGATTAAATGTTAAAAAGATATATACATATATTGTATAAAGAAAGAAATGAATAAATTTAATTATTTTATATTTTAATTTATATTTATTTTTTTTTATTAAAGAATAGAACTACATTAATATTGATAAGCATATATAATATTAAAAAAATATATTTAATAAAGACATTTTTTTTTTTTTTTTTTTTTTTTCCGTTTTTCTTCATAAATATATCTACAATGTAACTTATTTAAAAAAATATTTATATTTTTTTGTTTTTTTCAATAACTTTAAAAAAAAATTTTGTTATTTTTATTAATGTAAATTAAAAAGAATTAAAAAAAATTACGTTGTAATAATAAAGGGAATATTTTATATCTATGATATTATATCACATTTATGTATATACAAAATATATCAAAACTTTAAATTTAAAGTAAATATATTTTTCTTAATTTTATTATTTTTAATTATCCTATATTTATTTTTTTTTTTTATTTCTTATAATTTCTGTTAAAAATTAAAATAATATATATAAAAAGTATAAATTTCAATAATGAAAAAAGATTTTATTGAGATTTATTTTTTAATTTATATTATTAATTTTAATAAACTATTTTTGTTATATAATTAAATTAATAAAACATAAATATTTTTTTTATATTAATTTTATACACTTCATAACAACAATAATAATTAAAAAATAAAAATCATACATTCATGAAAAAAAAAAAAAAAAAAATGTATATTATATATTTTTAGGTTTCTATATATATGAAAATTATTCGTATACATATATCTTACATTTATATAAGAGTAGTTTCTACATAAAAAGGAACTTTATAAAAATCATTAATAATTTTATTTTATATAATGATTTTTCTTCTCATATTTTTAATGTTTAAATGGAATAAAATAAATCATACATTTATTGCAAATAATTCTAGGATAAAAAGGGGAAAAATTGTTTATCAAATTAATATTTTTATTAATAAAATTATAAATATTTATATATATACAGATATATATTTATATATATATAGATATATATTTATATATATATAGATATATATTATCTTAAAATTATAAAATTCATGTTTATAGATATTTAATATACTTTTTAAACACTCATTAAAATTTTTTTTTTTATCAAATGAATAAAAATAAATAATTAGAAATTTGTAATACATAATTTTCCTTATGAACCAATTTTTTATATTTTAAAAAGTAATAAAAACATTATTAAAAAATATTGAATGTAATAAAAATTTTTATTTTATTTTTCATATATTAAATATTTTAAAATATATTAGTTTATTATTTTTAATTATGAAGTTTATTATATTGTTTTGAATTTTTCAAATTCCTAAAAAAAAAAAAACATTATCATTTAAATTTTTTTTTTTTTTTTATTAGATAAAAAGTACGTTTTTTAAAAAAAAAAAAATGCTTTTCTAAGATAATATAAAAATATAATATTTAAAAGGAAAATTTGAGAAATGAAGACTTTTTTTTTTTTTTTTTTTTTTTTTT